TTGATGATGTTTGGTTTTTTTGACACCAAATAAAAGCAAACAAATTTTTTTTTAATGCTTTTGTTTATCATAAGATATACCAAGAGGTATCTTCATCAATTTAGCAAAGCAAGAGAAGCACAAATTTGCAATCATAATGATTTTGCAACAGAGTCCAAAGTTACAAAGGAGAATAAATGTTCATACTGGCTCCTACACACAATTTAGAGTTATGCATGCATATATGTGAGGGATAGACAAAAAAAAAAAATAGAAACACAAGATCATTCCCATAAGAAAACTAGAGAGATGAATAATGGCCACCACTTGCCAAAACTAACTAAATAACAGCCACACCACATTGTGTGAGAGAATAAATTGCAGATTTGTACAAACTTTCTAAAAGACATCTTAATGAGATACAAATCCAGAGGATATATCATCCATAGACCTGGATCAATATCGTATGACAGTAGATAGATATGATAAAAAAATACATATTTGTACAAAACTTCCAAAAAAGGCATCTTAATGAGTGACAAATCAAGAGGATATATTAGCTATAATATACTTGGATCACTATCATATTACAAAAGATAGAACTTTAACTTGGTCATTTATGAGAAGAGGTCTAACTAAGATTTATACCAAAGAAAAAGAAGACAAAAAACCACTTTTCTTTACAATACGCATCTACTGATCAATATCATAGGCTTGTTTCTTTTCCTCTTTTTTTTAATATAGATATCATCAATATATAAGACAACAAAATAATAAAATATGTATTTAGAGATGTGATATATGTTTAGAGTGACTGTATCTCTGTAACAGATAATCCACTAAAAGTTAACTACTTTCGTAGATTAAAAGATACGCTTGCTGCCCATCATTTTATATCTTTTTGTAATTATAAGCAATCTCTTTAATTAAGATATATATGCTATTAACATAATATATATCTGAATCTAATATTTTGTTTAGAAACAAAAAAAAAATAGAAGCCAATGGCACGCCTAAGTAAACTCTTTTTAAAAAATTGCAACTCTCTAGCCAAGGGGCACGTTCAAGTAATCTCTCTTTCACCTGTTAACCCATTCATCAGGTTACCCAACTAATTTTCAGTTTTACCCCTAACCCTACTAATCCGAACCTCAATTTTGGATATTCCCCCTTATTCGTCCTCCCTCTCTCTCTCTCTCTCTCTCTCTTCCTATTGTAAATAAACATGATGTAAAAAAGCTATCCAAATGGGAAAAAAAAATGGTTCTCGCCATATTCCTCCAAGGTTCTCGCACTTTCCCCTCAAACAAAATTTTGACCGAAATAACAGAAATTTGGTAATACGACTCTAAATCTCGGCTGATATTTATTGGAAACAGTTTTCGCCAAAATTTCTTAATTTCGGCATTTACGTTTTAGAGGGTGTGCTTGTAGAGAGAGAACGTTGCCCAATTCGAGACAAGGAAGTATAAGGAAGTTGGCGGCCTTGAATTTTCTCTCTCTAACTGCTTCCACTCCCAAATTTGCTCTCTACTCTCCTCAATGTTTCAGTCACACACTGAGAGACTCTGGAGTTTATCCGAAATTTTGGCCGATTCTTTTTAACAAAATTTATAGCAAGATGCTAGGCAAGATTTGCATTTATCAGAACCAAAACTTGATGGAATATATATATATATATACACACACACACACACATACACACAAGAAACTCATGAAGAAATATAACACCAAAACAATATGGAAGATGAAACGTGGTCGCTCTGATACAATTGTTGGTGAAATTTGATGAAGCAAACCCAATATTAGAGAAGGGGAGCCATGAGGTTGGTGATCACAAAGCCCGGATTTGGATCCCTTCACTTTGTAGAAAGAGAAGAACTATACGCCTTTTCCTTTTTGTTTTGCATCATCTCTCTGGCTTCCCATTTTATAAGGAGAAGAAGGGATAATCGTTGTATTTCTCCAACGCGTCTCTGAGAAAAACGAAGGGGTTCCATGATCTTAGGGCTATCCAACATTCATATGGACGTTGGACCATATGATCGTTGGATATATTGGATTCTCACATTGTAGGTTAAGACACGTAAGGCCTCATAACCATTTGCATCAACAATCCACTTTTTAATGGTAGATTGTGAATTCAGGAGCATCAAAGCATATTATGATGGTCGTGGACAGTTAGTTGAGCTTTGCGAAATTCCAGTAGGGGGTACTAAGATCTTCAAGGTAAAAACATTGAAAAGGACATGGTAGAGGTTGGGACCCATCAATTTTAATTTTGATTTAGTCATGTCCTTCTGCATGAGGTTTTCTACACTCCTGAGATAAGGATGAGTTTAGTTTTAGTGTCTAAACTTTCTTCTGATGGATATTTAATTTCTTTTTTAAGTGATAGAATTCAACTTAATCTTTTAGATGGTTACTTGTTTGGTGGTTTCTTTTATATTACCCATTTACTTTGGACTTGGAGGATGAACATTTTATTCCTCCCCTCACTTCTACTTTTTTTTTATTAGTAAATATGTTCTCATTTATGCTTTCCCTTTAGATGTAAGTATCTATTATTCTTTTCGTAGATCAGTGGGGAATACAGGCCCCTACTCGTTTTTAGAAATAATTGGCTGGTTTCGAATGCGTCAATGGGAAAGAAAACCTAGACCGGTAGTTGAGGCTCAAGTGGTGCTACCACCACGACCTCAACTCCATTCCTAATGTAAATGACTTCCAATCCATTATTGTTGCATGCTAGATTAGGTCATGTTAATAAAGATAAGATGACTTAGTTAACCAAATAAGTGCTTTAAGGATCATGTGGATTTGACAAAGAGAAGAATCCAAATCTTAAAAAAATCCCTCTTTGGATCATTCATTTTAATTATTTGGGAGATCATTAGACATGTGTCATTTATGAAAGGGACAAGATTTCAATAGGTACACGGGAAAACACATCATAAATTTATCGTCATGAAATTTCATAAACTTGGGTGGCAAAATCAATGTTTCTTTTAGGAAAGTGTGAGATTCACCTTTGTGTTCTCTTCTTCGTGCACCCTCCAATCTCACCATTAATCTTTGGGTAGAGATAGTAGAAGTCTGAGTGCATGTATTCAGAAAGAACTTTGTGCATCAATGGGTACACTCCTACAATAGGGTCACACATTAAACATACTTGTATATGGACGTCACAAAATGATGTCCTATTAAATTGTGAAATCAACGGTGTCAAATTTATATAAAAAGGGATTGGTTATGAAGAGACCATTTATCTTTTGTACATGGAGGTCATAATCATTCTCAGTTTTTAGATGTCAAATTGGATGGCTCGGAGTGAGTCACAAAGTTTGAGAATTTTCTTTTTGTAACTTTGTGTCTATTTAATAATACTCTTACAACTATCCATTTTGAAATTTAAGGGACATGAGTAATTGTGATCTCCATACACAAAGATAAATGGTATTTTGAAGATAATCCCATATAAAAAATCTCATCTTTTTATTTTTAAAATTGAAAATATATACAATGAGACCGTTACTTTTGATGCAAGAAAGTCACAATCATCATGGACCATGAGATTTGAAATCGGGTGGTTGATGATGTATCAATGTTTGTACACAAAGTACAAAACAAAATTCTCGAATGTTGTGGCACGTTTTTCACATCCAATGGCTAAAAGTCATTGCGATCTCCTTGTACAAAAAACGTTTTTCACATCCAATAGCTAAAAGTCATTGCGATCTCTTTGTACCAAAAAAAAAAAAAGTCTCATAGTATATAATCCCTTTAAATATAACTATATATATATATATTTTATGGGTGCAGTTTGTATAAGGTTGATGCCCTAACCAATAAAAGTAAGGCGTGCTTTTAAATAGTATCAAAATATATTATTTTAGTTTATAAAATCTTTTTGATAACCTGAAAACTCAATTTCATCTCTAATTATAAAATTTAAAGATTAAAATGAGTATAGATCAAGCAGATCTATGTAAACTTGAAAATCTTAAAAATTTACAGTTTAGATAATACATTACAACATACACTATTTTCAGGACTTGAAATCTACTTTTTCTCATGTCCATATATCTTGAGGTTGAGATGATCAAATTAAGGGTTTTCATCTTGAGGTGAATTTTTGAAGTGCGCCTTAATTTGATGGTTTAAGGCCTCACCCTTATGTAAACTTTTTCCTTTTTTTATTCCAACCCATCATAGCTGAGATTTCTATTCTCTAAAATTTTGAATCTAAAATACCTCCCTAGAGATACATTGTGGAGAGAGGAATCATTTGAATAGATGAGTCAGCGAACCAATACAAATTTACAAATTTTATCCTACTGAAAATGCCAGCGTTAGCAGCAAACCCCCAAATTTTCTACCTGTTATCTTGAGCTTCAACTGACCGTTGCATATTCTGGTTTCTCCTATCACATAGCTTCTCAAATTTCAAATGGACATACTGCTCTCTGCAAAGGGTTTCTGCGATCTCTTTGTACACACAAAAAAAAAAAAGTCTCATAATATACAATCATTTTAAATATAACTCTCTCTCTCTATATATATATATATCTTTTATGGGTGCAGTTTGTATAAGGTTGAGGCCCTAACCAATAAAAGTAAGGCGTGCTTTTAAATAGTATCGAAATATATTATTTTAGTTTATAAAATCTTTTTGATAACCTGAAAACTCAATTTTATCTTTAATTATAAAATTTAAAGATTAAAATGAGTATAGATCAAGCAGATCTATATAAACTTGAAAATATTGAAAATTTACAGTTTAGATAATACATTACAACATACACTATTTTCAAGATTTGAAATCTACTTTTTCTCATGTCCATACATCTTGAGGTTGAGATGATCAAATTAAGGATTTTCATCTTGAGGTGAATTTTTGAAGTGCGCCTTAATTTGATGGTTTACGGCCTCACCCTTATGTAAACTTTTTCCTTTTTTTATTCCAACCCATCATAGCTGAGATTTCTATTCTCTAAAATTTTGAATCTAAAATACCTCCCTAGAGATACATTTTGGAGAGAGGAATCATTTGAATAGATGATGAGTCAGCGAACCAATACAAATTTACAAATTTTATCCCACTGAAAATGCCAGCGTTAGCAGCAAACCCCCAAAATTTCCACCTGTTATCTTGAGCTTCAACTGACCGTTGCATATTCTGGTTTCTCCTCTCACATAGCTTGTCAAATTTCAAATGGACATACTGCTCTCTGCAAAGGGTTTCTGCTCCTGGAGACACTGTCTCTGCATCACCAAACACCTTTCCTCACACCACTCCCAAACCCTAATTAGTAGATTTTTCATTCGTGGCATTTGGAGGAGGGCCTTCAGTGTACAAGCTCTCCCAGGGAAGCCCCATGGCTGCTTAAAATTGCGCTCTGAGATTGGCGCAAAAGAAGCTGCGGAGAGCTTGAAAGAGAGGAAGGGAGGGCTTGAGTTGAATGACGAACAGCTCTCGGCTGTTGAAATTGATGCGCCGTATGTTCGGGTGATCGCGGGGCCAGGGTCTGGGAAAACTAGGGTTTTGACGTTCAGGATCCTTCACATGATTAGGAAACTCAATGTGGACCCTTCTTCCATACTGGTGGGTGCCTTTCAGGGTACTCTCTTTTTGGAATGTATAATGGTTATACTTAGTTTAGCTGCATTTTAGTAGTGATATAGATTGGTACAGTTTAGTAGTGTTATAATTTCAATTCTCATGGTTTTGGATTTCCTCGCTCTCTGTAAAATTCTCTTTGATGCATGCCTGCTCTTCCATTTTGCAGTTCTGAACAGATCCTTATGACTGCAAGGAATTAGACCATAGATATACACGTGAATCCAGGAAGTAATCATACCATGTGGAGCTAATCAAAAAATACTGGGGGGGGGGGGGCCATCACGTGGCCGTTAGTTGCAGTGCAAAGCTCATCTTATGAACAAAGGAATTTTAATTTTGATTTCAACTGTACTGCTGGTTATGGTATCTTTTTAGGACAATCCATTTCCTGGAAGTGCAAGAACTAAAATACTTGAATTCGGTGCTTAAGGGGAATATGGTGCTATATTCTCAACCTCCAGTGAGGATATTTGGTAGCGAGGCCTTCTTTGTGTCCTCACTTTCCTCTTGCTGTCCTTACTACCTTATAACAGTTGTTCTCTATTGATTGCATGTAAACCTTGGTCATCATATTCAACACCACTTTCCTCTTGCTGTCTTTACTACCATATAACACTTGTTCTCTGTGGACTGCATGTAAACCTTGGTGATCATATTGAACACCATTACTCTTGACAGCCATTGTATTCAATAGGTATGTGCATGCAGATACATTATGTCCCTTGTGTCACTTTTGAGCATTGGCTGGAAGGCATCTTTGCCAGGGCCCTTGCCCACTCTCGACGTCAGTTGTTGGTCAGTGACATCACTTGTTGGTCAGCAGACTGATGCTCCTGGTTGCCATTAAGACTGGATGCTCGGAGTTATGCATGTTGGTGTGTTCGTCATGTCCATAGTTTATCAATTGTCCCTAGTGTAGCTATTTGAGCATTTTTGTATTTCTTCGTCACTATCAATGCCCAAGGTCCAAAGTCGAAGGGGCTGAGGAACTCAAGGACTTTCATCCCATTAGCCTCATCAGTTGTACCTATAAAATCCTCTCTAAGGTCCTTACCGCCCGGCTTAGAGAGGTTCTGAATTTGGTCATCTCACCCCAACAAGGAGCTTTTGTTAAAGACCATCAAATTTTTGACGGAGCTTTCATAGCTCACGAGTGCGTACACTCAAGACATCTCTCCAAAGTTCCTGGTCTCGTTCTCAAACTTGACTGAGAAAAGGCCTATGATCATGTAGATTGCGAGATCCTCGATGATACCCTATTTTGAATGGGTTTTGGTTTGTGGTGGAGACTTTGGATAAAATGCTATATACGCAACCCCCACTTCTTGATCCTAATTAATGGATCCCCCAAGGGTTTCTTCCCCTCCTTGCTCGGTCTCTGGCAAGGCGATCCCGTCTCCCCCTTCCTCTTTGCTATAGTGGCGGAAGTCTTCACGATCTCAATTCAAAGGCTCTTCCAGTTGGATCTCATTCTTGGATTCAAATCTCAGCTCACAGCCCCCTTATAACCCATCTTCAATATGCGAATGACACACTAGTCTTCTGTAAAGCATCCACCCTCGAGGTTGAGACTCTTATTCTTTTCCTCAAATTTTTTAAATGGGCCACCGGTTTCAAGGTCAACATGACCTAGTCAAAAATGATAGGAGTGGCCCTCGACCTCCTTTCCACTCAAGCCCTTACTAACCGCTGGGGCTATCTTGTCGAGAACCTCCCCTCCACCTATCTTGGCCTTGTTCTCTGTCTCGGCAAAACCCAAACATAGACTTTGGGCCCATTTATTCGACAAATTTGATCGGAAGTTGTTCTATGGAAGGGCCATTACCTATCAATGGCTGGTCGAGCGACTCTCATTAAGGCCACTTTGTGCAATGTTCCTGTATACCAAATGTCCCTCTTTCTCATGCCGGCTTCCAATCGCTGCTGTCTTGAGCAACTCATGAGAAATTTTTTATGGGCAAGAGATGACCAACATTGGAAAATTCACCTATCTCATGGGAAAAAATCTGTTAACCACACCTAAGTGGAGGCCTTGGCATTCGGGCTCTTAAACAGCAAACACAACACTGTTGGAAAAGTGGTGGTGGTGCTTTGCCACCAAGACAACTATCTCTAGAAGACCGTAATATGGCATAAGTATAACCTCCACAACAAATCCTATTGGCTACCTACCTGTAGAACTTCAAGTAGATCCTCTGGCATCTGGCGTACTCTCGTAGGCATTCTCCGTCCTTTCAAAGCTTTTACTCGATTCCAGCCAAGAGCTGGCACTCATATCAGGTTTTGGCATGACCTTTTAATGGGCCAATCCCCTCTCAAAGACCTCTTCTCCTTTATCTTCCTCCTTGATCTCAATTGAGAGGCCACAGTAGCTGACCACTTCCCTTCCTTCGGGCCCCTAGAACCTTGTCTCCCACCTTCCGATACTCACCCACAGAGGCAGAAATGTCGGCATTCTCAGACCTCTTCTCTCTTCTTCGCTCTATCTTCCCCCCCCTTGCTGGTCCCAACAAAATCATTTGGTGCCCATCCTTAGACGGTCATTTCTCAGTCGCGTCCGTCTACAAAAAGCTTTTAGAAACACCCACTTTCCCTCATACTCCACCCGTCACTGTTAAAGCCTGGTCTACCATTGTCCCCCCAAAGATTAAGATTTTTTCATGGATAGCCCTCGTCGAGAGGGTACTCACGGCAGATCAATTGCAGAGAAGAGGCACACCCATTCCCAATCGATACACCCTTTGTTACGAGGCAGAAGAAACCAATTCACACCTTTTTCTCCATTGCCTTTTCGTCCAACAATTGTGGGGTGCTCTACTACGTCTTTTTGGTTGGCAATGGGTGACTCCATGCTCGGTCCCGCCCCTCTTTTCTTCACTCCAGCCTCTTCCCTGGGTTAAATCCGGTATTGTGCTATGGAAGGCTTCAAAGACAACCTTAATTTGGAATATTTGGATCGAACGCAACAATAGGATATTTCGGGGAGAACCCTTCCCTAACAGCCCTTCTCGAGAAGGTTAAATCCCAGGTCATTTTTTGGGCCTTCAGTTACCCCATATTCAAAGGTTTCACACCCTCGGCTTTCTATCAAAACTGGCAGGCAATGCTTTACCTCGACCCCTAGCATCCCTCTCGTGCGTCTCTCTGGAGACCCCCCAAGAATGGCCTAGTGAAACTGAATTTTGATGGATGCTTGTTAGGCAACCCAGGCCTTGCCGGAGTTGGAGGCCTCTTTCGAAATCACCAAGGTGCTACGTTGGCCTCTTTCTCGTAACCAATAGGCCACGCAGATGCCCAAACAGCTGAAGCAGTTGCTCTCCTTGAAGGGGTCAAACGTTTCGACCCTCCTAGAGTACCGGAGTGATAATCGAAGGTGATTCTCGGAATAACATCACCTGGGCTTCAGGGTCCTCTGATTACCCATGGTACCTGCTGCCCATATTTGACGAAATTCCCAACTATCGACTCCTCTACCCCACTTCTGGAAACACGTATGGAGAGAAAGCAACTCAGAGGCAGATACCCTTGCCAAGTCTGGAGCCTCCTAAGCTAGAGTCTGAATGGTTCCTCCTCAATCAGCCACTTTTAGTCTCGCTACCACTCAACCCCTTTCCTATCCTCTTTGGAATCCCATCTTTTGTATTCTACCCTGCCCTTAAAAAAGCTGTATATTGCATCCCCCTGAAGGGGGGAGCAAATTTTTGATTGATCTCTGCTGCTTTTAAGGAAGCACACTTTTGTACTCAAATTTCATTTAATTCATTAGAGTTAATACGTTAAAAAAAAACAAGGCATTCTTCTTACTAATTAGGATCGTTTCATAATCCTCTTATGAGTTATCTTTGTTCTTTCTTCCAAGTTTAATTTATTCACATGAACCTAGGAAGGTTAGGTATGGCTTCCACATGTTTCTAGGCATAGGATCTTGACACTTTGTGCATATTTGGTTTCTTTCTGAATTTACTTAGAGAGGAAATTGGTGCATGACTATTTTGCTCCCATAGGCAGTTGTTAGATCTTTATACAGGGACGAATCAAATGTCTGTTGTCCCTTAGAATGCGTTCAAGAAACAAGGATGTTCTTACTGAATAATAGAATCTTCCTTTACCTGGAAGCTTATGAAATTTCAATCTTATATGTGCTTCTTCTTTGGCTGTGGGGTTCACTGAATTGCATACTTTCTTATGATTTCTATTTCAGTCTCTTTGTAACAGTTATTGGAGTATAGGGAACCTATCTACATCTTTGTAGTTTGTTTACGCTTTCAAGTCATGTTTTTGGGGTAAAGTAAGCTGGCATGTATGCCTGTGTGCTTGGTGCGGGGCTTCTACAAATTTTCTTATATGAAAGGGAATTTCCCCTACAGAGATTTGGAAAACTATGGGGGAAGGGGGTGTACTTTCAGAACAGTTCAGCAGAAGTTTGTCTTCATTTGACTAATTCATTTTGCTGCTGGTTTAAATTCGCAAGTGTCACTTCATCTAATTGAGATCTATCAGCTATCATGTATAAGTTCAGTCAATTGTTCGGTGGATGTATTCGAGTATATTTAAGATGAGCAGTTTGTTATATTTTATGCTTCATGTTTATTGTTTATCTTTTTTGCTACTCATTAAATTTGTGTATTTTTAATGGCCTCAAGTGCCTAGCATTCACAGATAAAGCAGCTAAGGAGATTTATGAGAGACTGAACTGTCCCCTTGAGGCTGATCTTATGGATCCGCTCATGGTATGTATGAGCTGTTCTTTTACTTATATTTTGTTTTGATGCTCTTTTTCTGAGAAATTGAGTATATTGTAGTTATTCACTATGAATGTTCTCCAAGTACAATACAAAAGAGTAGTTAATAGTCCAACAACGTCTTATCACATTGACCAAGTCAGGTTAAATTCTTAGTAAAAAAAGAAGAATAAATGTGGAATATTTTCCATGTAGTTATGGATGCAACCACATGCAACTGCCATGTGGTTGGAAGCGTGGAATTTACATTTATGTGACATCATGCTCTGATTTTATTATTATGTGTCACATTTTGTGGTCACTTATGGCCTAGAGGATCTCTAATGGCCTTACAAAAAGCATAGTTACTGAAAGTCTCTTGTGTATTGAAGAACAGGTGAAAACATATGGACAAAGTGATGCTAATCTTTGCGGCTAATAAAAGAATCAGATTAGTTTATTATAAACATTGTATGTTGCACTACTTTTTCATAAAAGCGGTGATAATCTTTTGTTGAGCTGTCATTGAGAATGTTCTAGAAGATGTTATCCATTGGCTTTTTATTTTGATTAGTTCTTCTATTTTGTTGTCTGTTTGCATCTTGCCGTAATTGGGATAATAGATATACAGGCAGAGGCAGCTTTCTTGACTAGTTCTTCTGAGTTTCATTTATATGCTTTTGTACTACAATGGATTCACTCTTACTTTTGTTTTACTGGCATTTCTTGTTTCTGATACTTACTGTTGATTTTCTATTCGCTTTTTGCCATTTAGGATGTTGATGATTGTCCTTTTCTTCTTTGTCTTTTAGGTCGGAACAGTACATAGTGTTTGTTCAAGAATTTTAAGAGACTCAATGCATACACTGAACATTGGTTTGGACAGTGATTATAGCATATGTGATGACACCCAATCTCTGAATGTTGTTAATAGAATTCTGAAAGAGGTAAGCTGTTGTTCTTTTATTTTCCTTGAGTTCTCCAATTACCGTTTTCTCTCTGAATGTACATGTCACGGTATTGCTTTTGCTTCCAAAGGTCCAATGCCATTTTTGTGTCATAGCAGTTTTTAATGTCATCCATGGTTTGTTTTATGATGATATTCTCAGGCATTTAAATCATGTGCGGAAGAAACATGTTCTGTCAAGAAAGTTGACGAGGGAGAGTACCAGAATGTGGCAACTCAATTAGAACATTTGGATGAATCACAATTTGCACTACATGAAGATCTCTTAGCATGCAAGTTCTTAGTGGATGGTACCCCTGACCGATCATGGTTACTGCAGTATAGACCAAACACTGATGGGAAGTTTCTTAGTACTGTTCCATCGAAACTTTTGCTACAAGAAATAAATAATGCGAGATCATGTAGGATAAAAAACTTTATTGCCAAAAGTAGGGGTAGCTTTTTGCATGGCTTTGGTCTTCCTCCTCCTTGCAGTGACTTCTCCCACAAAATATCCAAAGTTTATGAGGTATGCAACATACGCCAAACACTTATCATTGAGCAACTTTATTTCCAATGCATTACTTAGTCTTTATGTCCTTGTCGGAATTTTTTGTTTGTTTGTTTTAGTGTTAACTTGGGATCTCTCTGGGAAAGGAAATGTAGACATTATGTTGTGGCACCTTCCACTCTCGCTATCCATACCTAGAGGCCATTCATGTCGCTGTTGGATGTTCTTCAGTTCTACATCAGTTCATAGTTATGGTGGATCATGTTAATGCCATCTCAGCAAATTCCATTCCACTAGGCAGGACCTTCTGGTTTCATACATGAAAGTGCGACGTGCTTTTCCCACCTGAAGTGTTTAAGTGATTTCTTGAGGTTGTATAAAATATAGTTACCTGAATTGCCCACTGAGGTCGCAATTCTGGTTCGGACTCTCTATTCTGCGTTTCCCAGGACGAAACTTGATTTTGGAAGAAAGGAATCACGTTTCCAAGTTTCTAGAACGTGATTCAATTTAGTAAATGAATCTCGATTCCTGGAAGCCTGGAATTAAGATTCTATATCGCAGAATTTGTGATTATTAGCTACACAATGTGCCAGACGTTGATTCCAATTATTTAGAAATTGCGAATCTATGTTGCTTGGAAGCAAGTTCCTTATCATTAAAAAGCGTGGTTCGAAAATGCACTGAACAATGTTTCGATCAACATTGAATCAAGTTTTAAATTTGGGGAATATTTGAAAATTTTATTTTCTTTTCCCTTCTAATTTCTATCCTTGTACTTGAATTTCATAATAATTTTTAACATCTCTTACCAAGCATAAATATTGTTAAGAAAAATTGTTACTTCAAATTTAGTAGTTTTTTGTAAATCTTGTGGGTACTAATGTAATATTGTTTGATATATGATAGGTACTAAGATAACCGTTAAATTAATCTTTAAATATTATAAATTGAATAACTCAATTTTCCAACCTACATTCAGTAAAGAAGGAGAATTTCTATTTCATTATTTATTTTATAATTCTAGTAGAGGGAGGTCGCACTTGTTCTCACTAGTTGTATGCTGTAGACCAAGTCCAGGGCTCTTGGTAAGCGAAGGGTTGTTGGTAGACTGAGTCCATTGTATGGGATTGTTGCCATTGGCAATTTATATATAAACCAAAATTCAATCTTGTAAATCATGGTAAATTTTCAGTCAACATATTAAAAAAAGTAATGGTAAATTTTAAATATTTTCAACATATTTTCTTAATATTTCTCTAAATATTTTCAGTGCACTATTCCTGAATGGGGAGAATATCGATTCCTGAATGGTGAGATTCTCAATTCCAAGTCAACGGGACAACGATTCTAAAAATTCAGGAATCACGATTCCAATCTCATCAGATTGTGGTTCTAGAAGCCACTAAATGATGTGGAATCATGTGCGATTCTAGATAGGTATGAAACTCGATTCCAACATGATGGGACCCCAATTCCTACAAATAGGAAACACATTTCCTATTTTATTGGATCGCGATTCCGATATATTGCGAATCAAGATTCAATGATTTGAATTGTACGGACAATGATTCCAAGATTAGAAATCATCTGATACATGTGATTCCACGATTTCGATTCCGAAAACGATTCGGAATCACATGCATTTCCAACAACTATAGTGTAAAATTTTTTTGTTTCTGAGTTATCGGCAAATTATTTTTTTCCTATTACATCGATTCTATTTGCCATTTAAACAAGCCAAGGTTGCGTAAAATATTCTAATGGGATTTAATTATTGTGGTGTTTCTATTCCCCATCTTAGGTTCTTGATGCCTTTTTTATGACTCAGTGTTGAACTTTCGCTACGTGTATTCCTATGTGCATGCATGTGTACAGCCTTAAATTTGTGTGTGTATGCACGTGCTTGTGTACATGCATGCCTGTGTGTATGGCTTGGCTTGGGACTTATTTGGTCCCAAGTTGATGTGTTGACTTGTAGTGTCTTGAGTTGATCTGATGACTTTTACCTTTTTCATTTTTAAAAATGTAAAATACAACAAATATAGAAGATCGTGAAAAATGTTGGCTGTAGAAATCTTAGTCCTAATTTGTTAAATTCGTTTGTATTATTCTTTTAAGGAACTTTGTTCTCAATGTTGGAATGCAAATTTAAGAAGTCAATAACTTTGCAAAAATGAAAATCCATGGCATGCATTTCGTCGCCTTTAAAATTTGAAAGACCAACCATCAACTTGTTCCAAGTTCCAACTGAGATGGTGTTCCAACCTTGTAGTGTGGTTTCTTGTCAAGAGGCCTAGCCTCCCCCTGATGAGCATTGGACATTTAATGAATAGAAACATAAAAAATTTAATCCTTCTTTGTTCTTTGTTCAGATTTGGCTGCAAAACACTTTGAATCTGAATCATCTGTAACCAATAATTTCTATCTGGAATAATGTATGGGGCTTAGATGTAGGTTTGAATGTGTAGAAATAATATAGGAAATTTTTGTTGGCATTATGTGATCACTTGATGTGATTAGATGCAATTCTTGCTACAGATTCAAATTGGTTACAAGTGGCTGACATGTTGTATTTCTTTAGTGGAGTCATTTCTACTATTAATTACTAAAAATCATTTCTACTATTAGTTCTTTTTCTTCTTTCATTAATCTAGTTGAAGAATTGCTGAATTCAAGCCCTCTCGTGTCTTTTAGTCAATCTTTCAAGATGTGGCTACGTTAGCGCATCTGTTTTCCTGCAACAAGCAACGGCTAGCGCGAAAGCCATTGCGCTAACGTGCATCCGTTTTCTTGCGACAAGCAACGGTTAGCCTAGTGCGACATCCGATCTCTTGCAACAAGCAACAGCTAGCCTAGATGTGTTCATCAATGCGTGCAGCTTCTATAAGGCCTATGAAAGAAAAACAAAAAAGGTGAAGCCTCACCTCGAAACCTTATCCAGAAAATACTTTCGGCATGGGACATCTCTATGATGGCTATAAAATCAATTTTACTGCCTATTATGAAGTTTGTAGCTCATAAAACGGTACATATCTTGCGGATCCATGAATACTTGAAAATGGGCAGTCTAGATAATGTGTTACAATATACACTATTTTTAGGTTTTTTTTCACAGCTATAATGGCCAAGGTTGAGATTCTGGTGCCAGAACTACAATTTGCATTGAGTTTTGAGGTGAGGCTTTACTTTTTTCTATAAGACCTAAGCCTGATTTTAACCTTTTCCTTCATCAATTTGTCATCTAATGAAATAAATAATTTCTTTAGATGAAATTAATAGACTTATTAACGAAATTGATGAACTTATTAATTGATTTTCTTGCTAGTATATTAATTTTCATACAATTCAATGTTAAAGAAGTTGTTGTCTGTTTTACCTGTCAGAAAAAAGCAAATGGTTATTACAGAAATCGATAATTTATTCAAAATGATATGATAAGCTGTTTTTTGTTGTAATATCTGAAGTACAAGATTTGTTACATATCAATGAAAAGCTGTCATACTTACATGGTTTGAGCTTTTTGTTCATAGAGGGAACTCAGGAGATCTGGAGCTGTGGATTTTAATGATCTTCTGTATCTTACATGTCAGATGTTTCACATGAGACCGCATCTATTGCAAGTAAATCATATTTCATTCTACTGGATGCATTAATATCATTTTCTACTTACTATATTGCAATTATTTATATTGTTGAAGTATAGAAGTTAGGATGTGTATTGCATATTCCAGTTTTCATACTTGAATATGGTTGAATGATCCTGATTTTGTAGGACGTCACCATCGTTCTCGGATAGTTTGGCCATAGGTCATTATAAAGGAATTTAGCATGATTTAAACTTTGAGAGTTGTAGGATACTTCAGCAAGATTGTGGATATCATGGATTTCCAGCAATATGCTATGATTAGCACCACTATGATTGCTTGAACTTAAATTAGCTTCTGCAACGTTATTTCGCTGTATTAGTGACATTCCACTCAATATAATCCAAGCAAATGTGCTTTCAAGATTTGCAGTGACTCGATCATAGTTATTCTCTATATAATGACTAGAAACAATGTGTTAAAAAAATGGGTTGGTGGGTCGATCACAATCTGGACAGGCAATCAAGCAATTTTCTTTTTCAAAGAAAAAGACGACCAATATTATACAAGATGCATGCAACTTCTTGCACAAAACTTTAAAAGTTCTATGAGGTAGACATTGTGGGTAGTCTCGTGAGCTTGAAGTTTCGATTCATCCCACCTCCCATCTTTTTTATTTAAGGTTTGAACTTCAAAAATCGAACCATGTTGCCATATATAAAATATAGCATATGGTAGAATTTAATAGGAAGGACTGGGCATGGAGGATTTGATCCTTGAACCTCGGCCATATGGATGGGCAGTCTACCAAAAAGGTTATTTAAGGTTTATTGCGTGATTTGGACACAAATAACCGCTGATTCAGACCTAGAAGCGGCACGTTCATTGATGATTCCTGATCCAGATCCTGATTGGTGACTTCTTAATCACTGACTAGAAGTCTTTTCCCGCATTAGTTTTATCATTTTAAGACTTCTAGTTTTATAAATCATTCTTTTGTTTTCACATTATATAAAAATGTAGCTTTCTCAATCCATTCAAATTATTCATCACAAAGAAATTGAAGAGATTCTTAATGCACTTTACCTTTGCTTTGGCTCAATGTTCAAAATCTCTCCCAAGGCGACTTGGCCTCAGGCTTGGCAGCTTGCTGAGCTCGGAATGGGTACCTAAGGGTGCCCTTTACAGTAATCGAGTGAGTACTGTACAAACTCAGCCTGGTATTGTAAAACTTGGTGATGCAGTACAAATTTGAAAAACACCAAAAGAAAACACATGCCAAATTTATAGAAACCCTAAGGTTTCCTCCTCACCTAAGCTAGGGTTCAAAAGCCTCGAGCTTTCACTCTCTTTCTAAAAACAAAGTCATGTGGAATGACCACTATAGGCCCCACACACCTCTAAACTAATAAAATTTAATGTTTAAGGACATTACATGGCCATACAATATATAAAACGAACCAAAGTCCTAAATTAAACACAAAATTCATGATGACAATTTTACACCTGTGTACATTACTCTTGAATAGTACCGCATAAAAAATTACAAGAAAACCCTAGAGTCCCTAAAAAACCTTAAAACCCCTAAAACTAAAATTAATATATGCATCCTTTGAAATTAAACAAATGTTGAAAATAAGAATGATTTTACCCTCCATCACTCAGGTTGACTTGCATGAGTTTCATAGTACTTTTGGTGCAATTCTTACTCACCCGAGCATTGTAAAAGTCATAATAAATGGGGTTCGAAAATCTGTGCCCTTCTTCTTTTAGACTGGAGCCTTGAACCCTATTGATTTGAGCTCAAATTCATTCCTTAGATTTTTCCTTGATCTATCTAATAGAACCCTTAGATTTGAGAGCAACACTTGGATTTACAGATGTTTTAGATAAAAAAATTGATCTAGTTTTTTCCTGATTTTGAAAAATTGCATTTTCTTTGCAATTAATGGTCAGTCTTCTATGAAAATTGATCCCCAAGCCTATTTTTGTGTTCTTGATTCAACTATAGGTTTGATTTTCGCAAAACAATTAGGATGAGAGGTTTTAAAATTTGATTTAACTATTCATCCGAAAATTTCAAGAGTTTAGAAACTCAAAACCTCAAGCTGATTAGGGGTTTTGATTGGGGTTGTTTGAGGAAGCTTTGACAAAGGATTTGAGACATGGATCCACATTGAGCGTGAAGATCGGGTATTGTCCTTGAAACTTTGCTTATGTTTCATTTTCCTCAATAAGAAATCATTAATTTGATTTATCTTTTGTTAATCAATTACGATTGATTTATAATTCATTTGGTATGTACTTTTATGTTTTTATGATTTTCTTAGTTTTCTAAAATTCCCCTTCTTCTAGGTTATCTATTTTTTCTAGCCAATAACACCAACTTTATTCTATTATATGATATACATACATACATACCTACATACATACATACACGCACACACACACGCACACACACACACACATATAGATATATATATAAATATATATGATTTTTTGGATCTTTTATGTTTTCTCAGAGTTTTTTTGATTATTTACAACCCTCTTTTTATGTCTTGGACATGTCTTGGGTGAATCCGACTGTACTAGCTTGAATAGCTCAGCTTGGGCAGGTGCCAAGTACCTTACCCAAGCTGTGTTTTAGAAGATTGCTTTTGCGTGACGTTGCGTTATAGATGGGTTTTCGAGGAATCTAGAGCAATGAATGATCAGCTATCAAAATTATAAAATAAGCTTTACAATTATAAGAATTATGCAAAAGTAAACAAACATGGAGAAGTATGAAAAATTAAGTATTTGCTCCTACTGCTTCTAACTGATTGATCTTTACATTCAAGTGTTTTTCTGGGTTATGTTTAGGTGCGGTGTGAACTGAAGGTATTAGTGCATTATATTCTTGTATTTAATTTTACTACTTCTGCTCTTTCTTTTTGTGTCATGTTTTGTGGTGTATGCAAGTTAGTTCTTTTGCCATGTTTTTAAGTGTACAAATGGGAGGTGGTTTCTTGTGTCTCTTAAATAAGCATTTCCACGATATGGGCTTAAAATTCTGAGTATAATTGTGATGTGGACTCTCTGTTTTTTCCAGAACAATGTTCCAATGGTGATGCAGATCAAGACATGAATGGATTCAATGTTTTAATTCTTCTCATTTTTAGGGGGCTTAATTATTTCTTTATTTTTATATCAATTTTTTAGGAATTTTATTTATTTTAGGGGTTAGGGTTATGTTTTGGTATTTTAGGACAAAAATGTCTTTAGTTTTATCGTTAGAAGTATGTTTTTAGTTTTAGAGAGGCTTATCTTATCCTTAAAAAGGGAATGCGTTTGCTTTAGAATTTTAGTGAGAGGCATATCATATCTTTTAGGAAGTTATGGAAAATTCGAAGTCATCTTTAGAAAAGGTAGGTTATCTGTTAGTTATGGAAAGAGAATGCTTGTTTTCTGGAAAATGACGTGGGAAAGAGATTATCTTTCGGGAAGAGAACGTTTATAAGAAGAGGGTCTCATTGTACGATGGTTGATTTTTTGTGAATGAATAAAAAAAGAAGTTTGATGTGGAAGAAATTCACGTGGAGAGAGAGAGAGAGAGAGAGAGAGAGAGAGAGAGAGAGAGAGAGAGAGAGAGAGAGAGTAGTGTTGTTGTTGTTGTTGTTGTTGTAGTACGTAGTAGTAGTACGTACGTAGTAGTACGTAGTACGTACGTAGTACGTACGTACGTAGTACGTAGTACGTAG